TCGTTCGGCGGCATGCTTGCCCCACTTACGCGACAGAGCTACGAGGAAGAAGGCTGTGGTTCTTGGATGTCTTTGGGTGTGGTTGACGAGGCCCTCCAGTACTGGATAAAACCGTGCTTCGGAACAAACCAATCGGCGGTTGCCACCTGGCAGGGACCTGTCGAGAACTTGACCTGAATCAGGACGTCGGTATTCCCGATCAAGGGGACTTGCAACATGTTCCAACGCTTCGTCACGCTCCTTGTGGTCCTGACGGCGCTGCATGCACGTAACCATCGTGGCAGCACGAGCGACACCGACATGGGGTCGTCTGTTATCGTGCTTCGAGGCGCAAGCGGCATAGACCACCCACTTCCCGCCGCGCCCATTGACTTGTTCGAACCGACAGACGAGTGGAAAGAAATTGGGCTGAATCAACAGCTTCCGGGGGTAAGATTGCTCGTCCACTTCATGTCAGTGATCCGTACGCATCCACTCGATGTCTCGACAGGGGCTGTGGATTCGCATCAACCTCTCAACAGGCAAGAAAGAAGCTCGAAACTTGCCCAAGTAGATACCCCGAGCTTTCGCTCACGTTTGACTATTGTACATTGACATGAACGGCTCGTGGAAACTGACGACCTGGCGTGGCTGCCATGTGCCATGGGCACATCCCAGAGGGAACGACGCTGCAAAGTCGTGGAGTTTCGAGTAAGTTAAGAAATGCTCGGTGATGGCGTTGTCTGCAAAATGGCGATGGGTTCGCGGCGTTGATCTCCCTCGACATCGAAGGGATTGAGCAAGTATTGAATCGACATGAGGGGATTTTGCCGCAGTTGGAGGATCGCAGAGGCCGCGGCAGTCACGGCGCCGTCGTCATCAGTCGCCAGCGGCTCATTTGACGGGCACCAAGGTCGACAGCACGTGTCGTGGTGTGTCGTGGCCTTGAGACCCGCCAACCGCCGCGCTTTCGTCTTTCGGTAGTACGCTTTCATTTGAGCGAGCTTCTTGTCGCGGTTTTGGGCGTGATGCTCCTTGGCCCGTTGAATTTTCTTGTCCTTTCGGCTGGCGTACGTTCGTTTGTGGTTGGCTCGGGCGTACGCGAGCAAAGTGTCGCGATGGGTTTGATAATACGCCTGAAAGTATGCCTTGTTTTGGTTGTAATACGCTCGCTTGGTTGGGGCGGTCATTCGAGCAGAGGCGACGGTCGAGCAAGTTGAAATGTGCTGATCACGCTTGACGAGCGGAGGTGCCGTCGCCGGATGATGGAATCGAACCTTCCAGTTTGAATGTAATATGACGGAGACGGGCGCCGCCAGAATTATCAGGACGCTCACGCCGTCGGATAACAGAGGCGTTGTCACTCTGTGCTGTCTTGCGAAAGGTGGTGGTTCAAGGATTGGAAGGACGCATCGATTCCAGCTCGCACGACGCTCGCTTTTGGCCGGGTGCCTCCAACTTTCGTGGCGTTCTGTAACGATTCATTCCCTGACGTTAGGTTTCACTCCTGCGTGGACGCAGGACCGACGACTCGGCTCAAGGCAAGGCCATCAAAATGGTGGGAGTAGTGTGGTGAAAAAACATGGCAACTGGGGTCTGCGGCGACTGCTGCACGCACGAGAACGACATGATCGAAGCGCTCGGCATGGCATTGCGACCCAAGGCGAAGGTGGCAGTGACGGACGTACAACGGAAGCGCACGATCAACCTTTTTCGCACACATTGTTAGGGCACATTGTTCAAGTTTACAATGGAGCATTCGCAGGATTTTCAGGATGGCCCTGCCAAAGTTCATGCAGCGTGTTTGGGTTTCACTCGTCTCTAAAAAATACCTGTGACGTGGCATCGCTGTCGGCGAAATTGGAGCCATCAGTCTGGAACGAAAAGGGGGCAAAGGTATCAAGAAGAAATAGCGTTTGTTTGTAGTCGGGGGGGGCTATCTCGATGGGGGCTTACCTGTTCATGGTTTCAGCGCAGACCCTCAGAGAGAGTTGTCGACCATGACTCGGCGGTTGCAGCTCTTGAGCACGTGGACCCCCCCCCAACAACAATCGTACCCCCTCGCGCCGATCGCCTGAATGAAGGGAAGTGGCAGAGGGGTTGAACCTGTACCATCCCGACGGCGTGGAACTACAAATTCCACAGGCAACCTAGAGGGAATTGGTCGCGACGACGATGCAACAGGTTTGGCGAATGCCTTCGAGCAAATACGCTGCTCCACTCATGCACCCCTCCCCGTTTCTCCGCTCAGTTGGCCATGCAACGCCACCACCACCACCTTCAGCAAGTCTCGAGTCGTTCGGAAGTGATTCTTAGCGTATGAACTGCAGCCGGATCGAACGAAATGAAGATTTGAACAGTGGTGGGTGCAGCCACGGTGTAGTTGCACGCCACGGCCCTCTAGTGTGCCCCTTCATGGTGGCGGTGGTGCGCTTCCATCGCGTTCACCGGGTTTGAAAGTTGGCCCCCAGCGCTTTGTTCAGTCAGTGTGCAGCAGATACGCTACGACCGTCGACGAGTGGAGCGAACGCATCGACGTCCATGTCGTTGGAAAGACTTGCTTCCTTTTGTCGTGCTCGTCGTCACCTACTGAGCAGGACATGCCCTCGAGATTCATCCGCCGCTCTCGCTAGTACGCGTTGATGCGATCACGGTTGCGCTGTTGGTACTCTCTGTCCTGCGCCGCAATCGTGACTGTGTCGCGGGCCTTGTACGCCTCCCTCTGCAAGAGGACGTGCTCGCGGTGCTCGACGACATCCTTTTGTTGGGTGCTGGACAATGCGGTCCTGGTCTTTTCGATACATGGCCCTCTTCGCCATAAACCAATTTGCACAATGGGCCTGGCATGGTGGATTTTTGGGTGCGAATCGCAACCGTGGGTGCTAAACACCTTTCCTTCGTGTGCATCGGCCATGGTCATTTCGACTGCTGCTACGAGGCCTGGACGGTGGCTCCAATGATCCCACCTCACAGTCAGGGATCGGGCACAGATAGCTCCCTCTCCTCGACGCACGCGCGTCCGTTCGGCACGTTTACCGATCGACTTTGCCCAACCAACCGAGCAAGTGCGAAGCTGCCTTCACAGAGGTGCCGACGGGGGAGGATGTATGGGGGGGACTCTACCACCCTCGTCCACAGCGCTGTCAAAGCACTTGTATTTCGACCGCTCTAATGCTAAAAGGAATGCAAGTTTATCAAACGCAGGGGTAACTCGGCGGAGTGGGACCGATTCTCTCGTTCAGTTTGACTCGATAGTGCACGCGCAGCAAGGGTTGCATTGGAACGAGACTGCTAAATAATTCCAATCCCCGTGCACGCACACCCACCGCGGCAAGTCCGGCATGGTTGGCGCCGTCGAATGGTGGATTCATGGCATTGCGATGGGGTTGTTGTCGCTGTTGATCCAAGGCATTCAACGTTTTGATTGGCTATAATTTCCACTCCAGACAAATCGCGAGTTTTGATTGGCTCATATCAGCGACATGGAATCCACTTGGCATCGACCCTTGCTGTGGCGATCTGGGGAGGTGCCTTGGTCCGCCCCCACGACACCCAACACATGAAGCACAGCACGACGCGATGATGTAGATGCATCAGAGGCATCCACGAAGTGGGCACAGCGAGAGCACGACATCCTACCGCCGCGCCGTGAAGTCGCATCGTCGTAAAAGTGCCAATAAAGAGGAACGCCACGTGTAGCCAATTAAATTGCAGCCAAACTTGGGCCTCTATACTACGATACAAGTACATCGTATTCGCGGTGGGCATGGCTCCTCGCCCTAGCGACGAGCTCAGGTCGGCGGTCATACTTTCAATCTCTAGTGGGCAAATGCAATAAACTTCCACAGTAGATAACCTTTCATATTACGTATTATACTTCCGACTTGGAACACCCAATTCTCACAAAACATATGCAGAACTGTATACTTTGTTTACCATGTCTTGTTACTCTGAGACAGAAAATAATCAAATTTGCATGAAAATGGACATTTCAGCATACAGTAGTCCCCCAAGGTTTGCGAACTGGTATAAATTAATACCTTGCTCAACTTAATCAATAACTGCATCCAATGGTTTCTTAAAATGAATTCTTGTTAGTTCTTTGTTTCTTTAATTGCCTTCAGAAACGTATATTCTTGAAGTGTTGCAAAACTTGGGGGATCACTGTATCAAAAAACGTGTGAAATTCGATACCTCCGTTTTTGTCACAGGGATGGCACGAGTAGGTTTTTTACACCTAGGTTATGAAAGGTTTTCCTTTGAAACCTCACCTCCATCGGAGGCATCGGAAAAGGTTTTAAAAAGGTTATATTAATAGAAAAATATTACTACTCTGATTGGGAACTATTGCAGACAAGTCGAAAAATTCATCTTCCTCTTTTCCGATTGGTCTAAAATTGAGTGGCTAAACGAAGCTCGT